ACAACAACAACAACAAAGCAACTCTGGTGGACCTTTCTTACGCCCCTGGGAAGGAACCAGAGGTGTGGTTCTCTATTATGTCATTTGCCAGAGCTCCCCAGCCTTTAGAAAAGTCAGGGTGAAGGTCAGAGGCTGTCTTGAGGGGCTCAAGGAGTAAGGTGAAGGATTTTTTCTTGTAAAATGAGCCAAATTTGTTTCCATCAAATGACAAATATGTTAGTGATTGTTTTAGACAGAGGTCTCTAGAGACGCAAAACCACTGAATCGTATTATACATGTATAGAGATGTCTCATGTAGTTGTGGACATTGGCACGTCTACATCCATGGGTCAGGCAGCAGGCTGGATATGTGGTTTCAGGGCTGACAAAATAAAAATCTGTAGGTTAGGCAGCAAGCTAAAAGCCTTCTCATTCCTAGGATGGCTAGGTGGATGCAAGATCAAGAGAGAGCAAGTCTTGCCAAGACATTTACTTTCCTTTAGTGAAGGCAGGCCATGCCCCCAAAGAAATACCTTTTCCAGCTGATTGGTGCTCACATCAGATCAGGAAATGGGAGACTATTCAGTGTTGACAAGTGGTTTGGCAATTAAAATATTCCCAAGTACTTTTAAAGTTACCCAAAAGGATGCAAAGGAACAAAGTCCTTGTTAATGAGGCAGCATGCTATTGTTGTTGCTATTGTGTATTGTTGAGTCAACTGTGACTCAGCAATCTTGTATACAGTAGTAACTCTTAACCTTCCGTATCCGGACTGTCTTACCATCTCTTACACCCCTACCCCCCTTATTTTAGTTACTGTGTCAACCCATCTCATCCAAGATCTTCCTTTCCTGCATTGACCCTTTAACCTTCTAGGCGTGATGTTCTGCATGGACTGGTCCCTCCTGTCAACATCCCCAAAGTATGTGAAGCCTTGCCTCCAAGGAGCATCTTGGCTTCACCTTTTGCGGGAAAGACCTGTTTATTCTCCTGATAGTCCCTGGTGTGTTCAAGACTCCTCTTCTGCAC